ATATACAAACCTGGTCTTCTCTGTATGCCATCTGGTAGCAAACCTGGTTCAGTTGCTGGTCCAAATCGCAAGCCTGGTCCAATAATTTCCCATCATTCTGTAAACCCGGTTAGCAAGAGCTCGACATGGAATAAGACAGAGTTGGACAGTTTTAGAGAGTTTTGTTTGGGAGTCTAGGGGTTCTGAGCATTCGAAAAGAGGTGAGTAGTTATTCATAGTTTTTTAACCTCTCCTTCAATTCTCTTGAATTTCTTCAATAGTTCTCGGATAGATTCTCAGCCGAAGCCGGGTAATGGCCCCAGTATCTCAAATGACTTGTGCAACTCTATATGGGACGCTGGGCCCGGTTCCCAGCACGTGCTGCTCCCCACGAATGGACTGGAGCAATTGTCCAAAAAAAAAAAATAATAATAATAATAATAAAAAATCGGGGGATGCTCATATCACTCCCGAATGGTCCGAATGGTGGCTTGCACAATGCTTCTGGCAAAAAATAAATAAATAAATAAATAAATAAATAAATAAAATTGTCCCCTTCATTTTAAGAAAGATTTGTTCGTGTCCCCCCCCCTCCCAACCCACCCACAACAACAAAAAAAAAAGGACCCTTGTCCAATGTGCACCATCCTGTAGAGTCAGTGTAGACCTTGTTCATTCAAAATGCAGCAGCAGTCTAAGCCCCCATTAACCCTTTTACCGCCGCCCTTGGGGCGAGGTCCCACTAGCAGAGAGGATTGGATTGAACACCTGGATCTGAACGTGTTTGTGGAAAGGTGGAGATAATCCAGATTGAATTGCTTTTTTGCATCTCTGCTTACAACACGTCCAGATTCAGGACCTTGAAGCACCAGTACACCACACATTGGCCCGCGGGTGTCAGCACGAAACCCGCACCACTTCGGAGGCCGCCGATTTTTTTTTCAACGGCACCCCACGCCACGCTGTCGGAAGATGATGCGGCGCAGCAGCGGAAATTAACTCGCCCCGGTCAACTCCCGCGCTGCGTCAAAAAAATTGTGTCCGTAGTCATGGACCCTAGCGCTTCGGTTAGATTTCCCCTGAGCCGAAACCAAGGGAAAGACGGCGCGACGGTACGGTCCCCTGGAGACCTGATCTTCCTCGTTGGACTGGAACGACGCGACCGCAATGGGCCAATTAGTGGGGTCCGGTCCAAACAGCACTTGAAACGGACCAAGGGTTAGTGAGATATTCAAGTTTGACCGGATGGGACCGGACCGACACGACCGCGTAACCCGGCCAGGAAAGGAACAGCCCTAAGTAGCCAAATAGATGAACAGCCAGACCCGAATAATTAAAATAGGGTCATGTGCTATTTTTAGCACGGGACTGACTGTTTGTTTCCCAAAGTCGGGCCTGCGCCAGTCCCGTTCTAAAAATAGCACAGCCCCATGCTATTTTTAGCGTGGGACTGACTGTTCATCTACCGGGGACTGGGCTTGTGCCAGTCCCGTTCTAAAAATAGGACTGACTGTTCATATCCCGAGGTCGGGACTGCTGCTATTTTTAGCACAGGCCCGGTCTAGAGTTAGACCACGGCCCCGACCTTGGGACTGCAGCACTCAGCCCCGATCACTTGGCCTCTCCATTAAAAAAGAGAGGCCATGTCACCCAAGACATCAGATCAGTTCGGGACAGATCAGTGTGAGATGCACGTGGCACATCAGGTAGCGCGAGAGAACCCTCATTTGTGGTAGCCTGGCAGCGTCGGCGGAAAGGCAAGGAGCGAGAAGAGCACGGAGCGGGAGGCAAGGGAGTCGAGCAGAAGGCAAGCCAGGGAAGGGATAAGGAAAGGAGGGTGCAGGACTGACCGCTTACTGTTCCTTTCTCATCCCTTCTCTTCTCATCTTCCCTTCTCTCTTCTCTCTTCTCTCTTTCTCTCTCTCTCCCTCCTCCTTTTCAACCGTCTCCATGGGTTGTGTACATGTCATATCTGATCTGTGCGCTCCATGCTTGACCTGATGATTGGCCATGAACTATGCACTCACGTACTGTAATTAAGGGTTGACTYAGTACCGTATACCCATGAGCAATRTATCTATAGGCGGATTGTGCGCAGCACACAATATTGCCTCCRAACCAGAATGWTGTTSCTTSGATGAGCCGATTTTGAGATTGCCATTRCAGTGCAGTYGCACTGAGTACSGAATAGATTTTGAGACTGCTAGCGYASTCATGCCGAGTAAAYAGCCGATTTTGAGGCTGCCAGCGCAGCCCCACTGAGTAACAAGCAGATTTTGAGACTGCTAGCGCAGTCATGCCGAGTAACCAGCCGATTTTGAGACTGTCAGCGCAGTCCCACTGAGTAATAAGCAAATTTTAAGATTGTCAACGCAATCATGCCGAGTAAACAGCCGATTTTGAGACTGTCAGCGCAGTCCCATTGAGTGATAAGCAGATTTTGAGACTGCTAGCGCAGTCATGTCGAGTTTCAAGCCAATTTTGAGATTGCTAGCGCAGACATACCGAGTGCCAAGTCAATTTTGAATGTTGGCGCAGTCGCATCAGCTATACCAAATTCAGACTTTGCTGGCGCAGTCGCACCAACCATACTAAATTCAGACTTCGTTGGCGCAATCGCACCAGCCATACTAATTATCAAGCTGAT